CCCCCCCCTCCCACCGTCTCTTCCTCTTAATACAAGGGAAAACGCGCGGCTGCAGCGCGCGGCCGAAAGGAACAGAGAAAGAGGGTGCAGGAGCGTCAAGGATCCGCGACGATAAGAGGAGCGGGCGAAAAAGGGAGGCACCCCCGACGTTTCCGATGTTGCGAGAGCCACGAAGAGCCTTCGCCGAAAGCTTCCACGAAAGAGCGCCCTCGAGGGTGCAGCCCGAGGAAGGAAGGGCGCCGGTGTAATTGAAATTTCTTTCGGGGAAACCCCATCCCCGCCGGCCCAACTTCCAACCCCCTTTTACCCTTCCCCGCTCCTCCTTCTCTCCTTGTCCTCCAGGCCCGCTTTCCACGGCCGTTGCACCGCCGCCTACCACATTCACACACATGCATACGTACACGCACGCATCCACCCACGTGGCTCGCACCAGCCGCCGTCTCCGGGGGGACGCGGGGGTGCCCCCGGTATAATTGGATACACCATGTTGAACGGGGTTGAATAGACGCCGCTCGCCGGCGCGATGAGTCGGTCGTTTAACGGGAATATCATTTAACTCCTTTGAGCGCGATCGATTTTCAGGAGGCGTGCGTCCAACACCGCGTGCAGAAATGGAGTGTAAAATTCGATAAAGTGTGTTGTAAGGCGCATCGCTCCGATTTCGGTCGCCGGGCGGCCGACGGAGGGGGCTGATTTTTCAATGAGACTAATATATCGGGCCGTCGCGTCGGCTGAAACGGGCTCGCCGTCGTGTCTGTCGGCGGTTAAAAGCGCCGCGAGCAGGGTGGCGGAAGGGCCACTTCCCGAAATTCGAGAGAACAATCGATACTCGCCACGGGGGAATACCCTCGGCGGCGTCTGCGAAAGCGGAGACGATGACGACGACGACGACGCGTAGGCGGTGTACTATCAAACTGACCTTTCGCAATATCGATTAATCACACGTTGCATAACCGGCATCAGGTGTAATGAAAGGCACATGCGTCCGTCAAAAGCCGCCGGTAATGTAATTTTAGCCGGCCTACGTGGTCTTTCGGTATTTTATCGTTGCGTGTAGCACTGCAGCACGTTAAACTTGTAAATGGATCGTTTTATTTATAGGGGAAAGGAGGGATTAAATGACGAAGTAAGATAACGATTTGCTAAGTTTTCTAAGCTAATAACAAATAATGATTCAGTGTCCGACTCATTAGATGTTTTTGATAATAATAAATAATCTGTTATAGTTTCACTTCAAGCTATCGACATAATAGATGCAGAGTAAATAATATAAGAAATATATTTTGAATACATCTATATGTAATTTTGTGTTATATTCATAAAGAATTATACAATTATAGTAAATATTTTCACTTTCCTTACAAATGTACGTATTTTATTTTTGTGTCCTTGTCTAGATTTTATTTTTTAAAGTTACATTGTCCTAAATTTTATATTTTTAGTTCACAAATAATATTTGTATTTTATTGCACAGACACTATAATAATACAATTATTTTGATTTTATTATTAAAATTATTGCACAGATACTATAATAATAAAATAATATCGATTTTAAGAAAATTATATTTTTTGCACGCATAAAAAAATTTATTTCTAATCTTCGTCGTCTAATTTATATATGGGGGGCAAACAAACGAAACTGGCACGTTATCAAAAAAATTCAATTCAATTCAATTTTAATTTATTTATAAATTTTTTAGTTGTTGCAGATGATACGAATGCTTAGCTATTAAAAAAATTAATAATTATTTTTAAGTCACTACGAAAATGAGGAGAAATTGACAAACCTTAACGTTGTCATCTTACTTTCCCTTTCCCCTAAATGCCACGACGTTGTAATACTGTGTCGTTAAACTGCGAATTTCTTTTCGAGATAATTTATTCGAAAAAAACCCCTCCATTTCGTTTCTTATTTTTATATCCCGATTTAACTCTCGGATAATGAATTTCCGTGGCGCTAACACAAGTTCCGCGAGCTGTAACTCACGGAACGTAATCATCGTCTTCACGGGACGTAATAATTGCAACGTGCACTATACAAGGAACGGGAGTAGGATAGCAGCTCGCGTAAAGAATGACCCGGCGGTATGCAAATTAAGGGAGTATTCGGGTTAAGAGAGCATTACCGAAGTGGCAATTTCGTAGTGAACGAGCCACGCGATTTATAGCGCAACGCATATATTGCACTTCTATAAGGGCGTGAATCATGTAAAAGAGTCTATTTCCTGTCGTATCCGTGTTATTACGAGAGACGCATACTGCACAATTCAATTCATTTTCTGTAGTTGATATATCACCCTCCTAAACGTAGAATTTTTCGCGAGACGAATGCGCGAAGATACTTCCGATTAAGACCGACAATATTATTCCACAACGTCCGAGATCATTTTTTGTGATTTTTATATTACCTAGTTTTGTATATTTTTGTATATTTTTGTATATTTTTATATTACCTAGTTTTGTATATGTATGTGTGTGTATATATGTGTATATGTGTGTGAGACGAAAGTTTGACGCTATGTTAAACCTTTAATTGAACAATACAGTAGGAAATAAGATATCAAAATAGATTCAAAAAATGTAAATTCTAATAATTTACTCCTACTTTGAATCTGACGATGTCTTAAATTTTCGTTTTTGACTGTTTTAGCAAAATAAGTTATTTAAAGTAACATTAAAATGAAATCTGTAGAATCAAAGGTTCGAGAAAAAAGTTAATAAGTATCGGTATCGTCAAAGTAAATTTTTATTAGTCTATAGACCATCTAAGTAAACGCAAATTGTCCTTAAGAACGTCAAAAAGTAATATCAAAATTTCGATTCGGAGACGGTTAAAGGTCTCGAAAATATCTCGGGCGAGCGGGCCCAACAGAGTTGACTCACCCTGCAGATAATAGGCTGGTTTCAACCTAACCAGACCCGGCACCTGCGAGACACCCGGCCGAGTAGTATTGTGTAGCTGCAGGGCTGCCAGTAGATCCATACTTCCTCCAGGATCGCTTTCTGTCCTGATTCCTGGGCCCAGAAGCACGGCGCTATCCTCTGTGACCGGAGTCACCGCCGTTTCTTCCTCTTCCTTATTCGTCGTACCAGACACTGAAACACAAGCGGACGATTTTACTTGATTATTCATTTGTTTTACTTGATTGAAAGATTTTGTCTACAAATTTGCACAATTTTGCCGCAATAATATTCCGAATATATTTAAAAAATAATAATAGCAAAAGCAGACATTGTGCCACAATTATGACGAACCAAATAATTGGGGAGGCCTTGAGGAATCGTAGCACTTCTGGAAATAAAAAGAAACGTTTGCGAAGGTTTCAATAAGACAATTAACTGTTTCGAGGGCGACAATGCTATCCGGGTTTCGAGAACTTCCATCGTTCACGCTATGCCGATCAAACAATTCCGTACCCTTCCGGTCCGATGCGCGAAACTTCTCTCTGCGCAATAGCCAGAGAGACTTCGAATTTGTTTCGTTCGCCGAACAATTATCGAACTACATTTTCCTTCTTTCCGACCCGATTCGATTTCACCTCCGATTACACTCGTCGGCAAGGAAAAATCTTCCGGCGGGTTGGCCACGAATAAGCGAAGCCGAAGGGAATAAAATCCCTCATCGGGTCGGATCAAAAGGACCGCGAGACGAAAGAAGACGAAGTGAGCAAAAGGAGGGAGAAGAAAGAGCGGAAGAAAACGATCGCGAGCGACGTTCGCGCGGACTTTTCGAAACGGCGGTATTGATCGGCTCTCTCTCTCTCTCTCTCTTTCTCTCTCTCTCTCTTCACAACTCGACGCTCGTTATCGGCGTTTCCGTGCTTTTCCCCGTTCCATGAAGCCTTCAACCCCTTCCGCAGAAGCAGCCGTCTATCTCGTAAACAGCCTGTTTTATCTATCGCATCTCCTATCGTCTCTCTCTCTCTCTCTTTCTGTGTGTGTGTGTGTGTGTGTGTGTGTGTGTGTGTGTATAGAATCCATTCCGCCTCTGACGCGCCGATTTCACGTTATAATGATTGAAGTCCCGCGGAAAAAGCACTCCCGACTCAATCCTGCGCTCTCTCATTCGCTCACTCACCCTCGCCTTCCCTCTTTCTCTCTCTCTCTCTCTCTTTCTCTCTACGGACATCCCCTCGACGGGGGAAGGTGGCTATTTTCACGACAAGCGACAACTTTTGACATTCGGTTACGTGAGACACACGCTCGCCACGAAAACCCGCTCTCTTTCCTTTCAACGGGCGCCGCACGTCGCATCTCCGATTGGTCGTGGCCATCGAAGCGGAAGATCGATGGACGGAACCAACATGTACACGCACACATACACGACGAGGTTTGATATATTGTATTATTTCTGCAATTTACGTTATTGAATTCTCATTCACTTGTTCTTGCGCGACTGAAGCAACGACGCGCCCGAAGCGAACGGATAAGATTCCGCTAATGCAAAATCGATCAGGCATTAATGACAATGAGCCGACACGGGTATTCCGATCGCAGTAATGTTGGACGTGCGATTCGATTATAAACCATTTCTAAAGGGTGAAAAATGAAGGAGCCGTGTCTCCTGCTTGATAATAAAAGGGGATGAATAAAGGAGACGACGTCGCGCGCGCAACGATCGGCGGCGCGAGCGCTCCCGATCGATCGGTTTCGCCGTGCGATAATATCGGAGGGCCGACCGGCACGGGGTGGAAACGCGAATGGAAAGGTGAGTCAATGAATAAATCAGCACGTAAACAGTGCTGGCAGAGCCACTCGCCAACAGGAAGGCGCGCGTCCAATATTGCGAGCACTCGCTCGGATGCAGTCGCCGAAATCTAGAATGATATTTTTAGCCCTCGCCAAGAAAACACACAGGCGAGCGGATTCACGTCGATCATTTCGCGTCCTCAGAGTTTATTTGCGCACATATCCACCGCTCCGAGAACGCCGGAGGAGAGATTCACCTGCGAAATATAAACACACCGGCGCGTCGTGCCTCCTCTTCCTCGTGTCACTCGAGCTCACCGCTCGAGAAAATTATGACGTATCTCCAACACTTTAACTTTACTTTATGAATCTAGATTTCATGTCTTTCTCTTCATCTGCGATTACTTATTCTTCAACATTGTATACCCAAGAGTTTCCCGTAAATACAATGAGAAAAATTATAGTTACTTTCGGCTCTCAGTTACATTCTTTTTATCGTTTTAACAACAATAGTGGTAGCTCTATGTATGTAAGGTTATTATCACTGATAGTATAGTAACATTTACTATAGCGTCAGAAGTATGATTCTTCTGATTGTAATTCTTTCATTATGATAATTATAGTTACAAATACCAAGTATTTGTTTTCTTTTTTAATGTGTAAAGATTATTATTAATTTTATTATAACATATTGTCAACCGATCAGATTTATTCTTTTCTTGATAACCGTTGTTCAACCCATTATGTAATTTAAACTTTTATAATGATTCTGGAGGCAAATTATTACATTTTTACTATTAGATTTTTTAGGCTATTATTGATCTTCCTGTGTTGCCAAAATTGTAAAAATTTAAAAGATGTTATTGCGCACTGATATAAAATTATAGTTACTTTCGATGCTAAACATATTTTGTTGTAATAGCAACATGTATGTTTTATATACAGGTTATTATCACTATTGTAACACTTACTAGAAAAATGGTTATCCTAATTATTTTTGATTAATTAAAGAATCTATTTGACGCCGAAATTAACTATAATTCTCTATTAGTATGTCTAATTTTCTATCAATTTACGAATATTGTATAGTTTCCCAAAGTCTGGTAATAATAATGAACCTTTCAAATCGTCCAAGCACGACATAACTGGACAAATACGGTGTAAGTAAAAAGACGACAGACCCCATTTTTCGCAAGAATAAGCCGATCGACTGATGCAAACGACGTGATTAATCGCAAAACGGTTCGCATATCACATACCGCGGATTTGGCACGGGCTTTGCTCTGTCGCACAGCCGATTATTCCAATTAACGGTGATTATATACGCCGCGATACATCGAGCGCTAATTAGTTTCGGCTGGAGTTTACGTGTGAATGCATCAATGGCCGCGTTGGTTTCCTCTAATTACACGATGTACACGCAAAGGGAATCCTCAGGCGTCGACTACCTAGCTTCCTTCCTTCCTTCTTCCCCTAGGTCCTTCTGTTTTTGCAACATGAGAGAGAGAGAGAGAGAGGGAGAGAGAGAGAGAGAAACATTATGTCAGATCACAGGACTTTGGCGGCACTAACCGGGCCAAATCGTCCAGCAAATTAATGGCATCGCACCGACTCGGTCTTTCCGTCCAAAGTGTTCGCTCGTCTGCCAGCGCATGCCTAACATAGTGACTTCCATTCATAGGCGTCGTTCCCGTCGCAACTTGAACTCTCTTGCTACCTTCCAATTTCGATCCAATGTAGCGACGATTTCGAATAGAATTGGATCTCGAGTTGCGTCATCTATTCTTTTTTCAATCTGCGAAAATTTACTCAGTGCATATCTACTTGCGGTAATACATTAAAAGAATAAAACAAAAGGCAAATAAGAGTCGAACGCTATTGTTAGTGCTTAACATTTATAAGCTAATAATGACAAAATGAAACGATGATGGACAAATTAAAAAATATATGTTTAAAACGTTTTGTATTGAAGAGGGTCCGGAAATATGGATCAAAATGTACATTTTTGAATTTGGCCTTCATTAATTTATTTTGTCATTTTGTTGAATTATAAATATTTAGAACTAACAATAGCGATTGGCCCCCTTTTTGTTATTGTGATTCTGAGAATTTTTATTACCATTTTTTGATAATTACCATTACGTGATAAATTAAATATAATTCATAAATATAATTCGACTTCCTTATGATATTAGGTCGCAACTTTTTTTTATCAACATCGTAACGTTACGAAAATCGTTACTTGTAATTTGGTTAAAGAATTGCGATCTCTGAAAAACGACGCCTATGCGACTCGCCGTATGTACTGGCTCGTACATGAACACATGTGAGATATCGTCAGTGGGCAGAAAACGCGTAAGTGTCCTGAGACAAGATGACGTCGGACTAAACGGGATGGAATAGAACGGTGGCAGACTGCCGGGCGTCGCGACGCCCGGTATCGAACCGTACGTGGCATTATCGTGAAATTCACGAGAGAGAAAGAGAGAGAGAGAGAGGGGGAGAAAGAGAAAAGAAAATAGGAAAGGAGAGAGAGAGAGAGAGAGAGAAAGAACGAGAAAGCACACTCGTGTCACGTCTTTCCTGGCACGCCTGTCATCGTCATATTTCTTGACATCCACAATCATTGATGATGTGATTATATCGATAGTGATTATATCGATAAATAAGTGATTATATCGACAAATCTATTAATCGAAGATAGTCGAGATAATCAAGACATTGATTATATCGATAAATAAGTGATTATATCGTCAAATCTATTAATCGAAGATAGTCGAGATAATCAAGATGTGTCACGAGTTTTTTAAGTAAAATACAACCATAAATATCCCTTAATAGAAGAAAGTATTATTACTATTATTGAGACTCATTGGTGCCGTGCAAAGCTGACAAGCATTAAATTCTATAGAAACAGATATTATGAATAAATATTTTGAAATCATCGATATAGATAAATGTTAGAAATATAGATTGATTTGAGTAAATCGACATGTTAGAATTAGTCATTTTCTAAAATTTCCAGATTATCGGAGAACTCGTACCGCTTTCATAGCGAAATTGAAATTAACAAATTATCTAACGAAACTCTGATAATTAATAAAACTTACGACTTCAAATTTTTGCAATTAATTACGCGAATCTAGGGTATAAGCCAGTAGTTATTTTTCGGTCAATGGTCCATTTGTTCTTTCTTCTTTACGCTTCCACTACAGACCTCGTATATAAACCGAACCTTTAGTATATAAACCGAGACTGCTAAAACTTTACGACTCCCTCTTTCGAGTGCTCTTTCGTTCGCAGTGTTTTTTCGTCGCTGTTCTCGGAAACAGCTGTCAGTCCTTCAATCGAATTCACTCGTCGTCAGCCGACCGCATCGTGCCAAAGTACTAAATAATTCAAGCAAC